ATATATATGCTTTTTTTAACTAGGGTGATTTGTAAAACTAAAAATCATTGCTGTCTACATTTAAACTGTAAGACATGTAAATCCCACAGGGCTTGTATCCTGATGGGGGATGGGATTATTTTATCAAGGGACTGTGCTTGCTAACATGGCCATGTGGCCTGGTCACCATCATGGCTGCTGACCTCACGAAGAGGGAGTCAAACATGTGGCCTTGTCTCCATCTTGGTTGATGACATCATCAATATGGGTATAGTCACATGGCTTGGTTGCTGTCTTGGACAGTGACTTTTCAAAATGACAGTGACCTATGAGACCTTGCCACCATCTCAATCCAACCACATGGCATGATTCAAAATGGCAATACCCAAAAAAACTTGCTGCCTAATTTATTTTGTTTTGGATTCTTGATGGGAACATATAAAGGCAATACATTTTTATTTCAGACTAAGAAAGTAATGCCAGATTTCCATAATGGGAGTCTAGATTTTTCCCTGTTTCTAAAGGGGATTATTTTGAGTTTTAACTTCTTGTATGGTATATTTACTGGTTTTTAAAGATGACTTTTAAGTTTTTACATTGCTTAAAATGCTTACAGGTTTTTTTAAAGAAATTAGTTTTAGATTTTAACATTGTTTGCATAACATCATTATCTAATAGTATTAAAGGAATTATTTGGATTTTAACATCTTTTTTACATGGTATTTTCTGATTTCTAAAAGTAACTATTTTAAATTCTTACTGTTTTACATAAAATATTTGTCAGTTTCTAAAGAGACCTTAAAGTTTTTCTAACCATATGCCTTCCAGACTATCCAGGTACAAAGGGAGCTGACACCTTGTGATGGCTAGACCTGAAAAGCTCATAAGAATTCATTGTGCTCCAGGGCCAAACCTTGCAAGAGACAACCTGCTACCAGCACATAGTTACAACACTGGGAGGTTAAAAGGGATAGCCTATTTCCTTCTCTGATGCTCAGTTGCTGTGTGCTTGCTTTTGTCCCTGACACAGCATTCCCCCAGGTACCTTCTAGTTACAATGTCATGGACAGACTTAAAAAAAAAGAGTATTGTGATATTGTCTCTTCACAAGTTCTTTTAGGCACCATTGTTTTCTCTGTTTTCCTTAGGTTTTGGGTACTTATGTATAATAAATTATAAAATGGTTTTTCCAATCCAGACTGACAGCCCTCTTCAAAGGAATTCACTTTGCGAGTTAACAGTCTTGCCTTAGTTTAAAAGTAAAATATGGATAAACAACTTAAAACTTGTAGGCTAAAGAAAAACAAATGCCTTTTTGTATTAATTATATTGGTAAACTGTCACCTGCTGTTTGAGCTCACTGATGCGCTGACTCTGGAGATGGGATTGGCCCTCCCACTTCTGACTCAAGCCTAATAAGATGTGTTCTCCAAGACTCTTTTCCAGGTTCAGGCTGGCCCCTGACCCTGTGATAAGAAAAAGGAGAACAACAAAACAGCCTAAGAGTAAAGGCACTGTGCAGTTGAGAACAGCTAAGGTGTAAACTAATTTCAAAAGAGGGTATTACTGTCTATAGTAAAAGTAGTTAATGGGATACTCTAGTTAGTCACAATACTGAGTAAAGTCACTAACACAGACTAATGTAACTCTTCATTATACCAGACACAGACATCAAAATTATCAATTTGGACTTACCAAATGTATGCGATTATTCTTTGAAATGTGATCATGCTTGATGAGCAATTAGAATATCCGCTTTGTTTCTTCTTACAGACTTAACTCTCAGGGGAGATTAAGCCATCCATGCTAACTGCAAAAAAAACTTTTCACATCATTTAATAAAGTAATTTTTTGCTAACAAGGATAAATAATTGTGTATCAATACATTCTGAAGTTTATTGCTGCTCACAGCCAGGTGACAATCCTGCCACGGCCTTCCATTTGTCTGTCTTTGAATAGTATGTGTGCTTTTCTTCATAAAAACATAATCATGTAATTTACTGCTCTTTCAACATTTTATGCTGTATATATATATATATATACACACACACATATAGATATGATTCTTGTCTTGTTTCATGTAGCAGTAGCTCATTGCAATACAGATTTCCATTGCATAAATAGACCACAATTTACCTGGTTTTCTAATCTTTTTATTTTAATGTATATTTTATTGAATTTTTGTGCATTTCATACAATATGTATTAATTACATTTAACCCCCTCTTCTATCTGCAACCCCCATATGCCACCCATATAAACATAACAAAACATAGTCAACTGTATACCCAGTCACCACAAAATCTATTGAATCATGCTCTCTTTGTTTTAAATTTCTTAACCCTGGATGCCTAAGGTCACTCTGCAGCTGATACATTGTGGCATCCTTCTTCTTCCACAGATTATGCCAAAGTCAAATGAAAAGATCCTTGCACGGGACTCTGACATGGACCAGATCCAGTCCTCATTTGGGGGAGAGGGCATGTTTGTGTTTTTCCACAGGATGCTGACAGTACACATTGGTTACCTGAATGCCTCGTTTAGTTTGCAAAATCTCCAGATTCTACACCACCTGCGATGTCGTGTTGCACCCACTGATGTAGCCATCCTGCTCTTCTTCTCTTCCTGGACTTTTTCTGATGCATGGCGCCCACCGTTCTGCTTTCTTGGACTTTTCTTGTGATGCATCACAGCCTTACTTCTTTGATTGACTGCACCATCTGATTGTTACTCATTGTGTTTTTGTCCTCCCTCTGTATTTCTTTGGGTTAGGTTTCATGGTTTCAGTTTAGTGGGGGGAATTAGGCCTGTGCGGCCTAAGCACAGAGGTTGGGAGTGGACTGCTGGAGAGCGAAGGTTAGTGAGTGGACTTTTGGATTGTACCAGTGCAAGGAAGTAAGTGGCAACTTGATGGTGAACTTATAGAAGGATTTAGAATGTGAATGAGGGATTGTGCAAGTGGACGAGGGATCTTGAAAGTGAAAGGAGCAGGGATTCTGTAGTGTACAATGTAGCACGAAGACCATTTAGCAACATTTTTCAATTATCAGTGGCACAACTTTGAAAAAGTCCTTTGCCTGTTTCTTCCCCAAGGCCATGGCCAATTGATGGGAGCTTTACGGAGGCTGGTTAGCCAGTGACGGGTAAGATCTTCTCAGAGTAAAGTGGATCACCAGCTGATCCCCTACAGCTTTCACTCTGGTAGAGGACAACCTAAGACAGGCACCGTCTTTCCACCCCAGTCTTGGCATGTACTTCATCTTTAAAAAATATGAAAAGAAAGGGGGAAATGTTGGGAGCCATGCTTGACATAAGCATTGGAAAAAAGTAGAGTGCCACTTTAAGGGCTTCTGAGCTCTCTGCTTCAGCGGGTCAGAGCCGACAGGCTGTGCCGCCATGATTAATTAGGTTTTCTAGAAACTTAGTTTCATTTCGGTCTTTGGGCACCAGAGTTGGTGAGGTAATGCAGGAACCTGCTGCATCCGTAGTAGTTACTTTCTGTTAGTAAAATATCTATGGTGATTTTTGGTGATTCCTTGGTTACCCCAAATCTGATTCCTATATAAGATCTGTGTTCCTCACAACACAGAAGCTTCCTGTGATCCCTCACCTAACTGTAAGACTCTTTCTTTAAATAAATTCATTGCATAACTTCAAGACATTTGTCTTAGTTATTTTTCTTGTTGAAGACCCAAGCCTGGTGGGCTTGGGGGGCATTCACAGATTACATGCATTCTGTCATATATGTTAAGCTTTCCCTAGTCAAGTTTGTGTACCTAAATGTCCCTTGGTTCAAGTTCATTCACTAGAGGCTGATCAATGTCCTTTACGTAAGATCAGTGCTCCCCCGACAGAGGTTATCAACTGCCAATAGTTCCTGGACTAATGTTGGGGCCTGCTGCCCACTTTCTCAGTTCTTCTAGGTTTTGTCTGATTGAGTCTGCATGGTTCTTGTGCATGCTGTCATAATTGCTCTAAGTTCAAATGAGCAAGTTCCCAGGAGCATGGAAGATTCTGTTTCCATATGGTCATGGCTCTTACAATCTTTCTGCCTCTTCTTCTGCAATGGTCCCCAAGCCCTGGGTGGGTGAGGTTAAATACAGAAGTCCTATCCAGAGACACACACTCTGCACTCTTTCATTCTCTACACTTTGACTAGTTGTGTGGCCTTCTGTGTTCACTGCCCTCTGTTGCATGAGTACGAGTTTGCTGGTGAGAACTGAGAGCTGCATTGGTATTCTCTTTACCTCTTGTTCTGCTATGTTCCATGGACTGTGGATGTAGAGTTTCCATTGTAGGTGTGTCACTTAAGGCTGGGCATCTCACAGACACTTATTCCTTTTGTGTGACTAGTTGTGGAACTCTGTAATAGTCTCCATCTGTTGTAAACAGAAACTTCTTTGATAAGTGATAACAGATATACTTGTCTATAAATATAAGGATCCATATTTAGTATATAATAAGAAATTATGTTTGTCAAGGGATGTGACAGATCTAAGGTTTTCTCTAAGCTCTGTCACCTCTCCAGCCATGTGTACTTGGCTATGTTCACAGTGCCACATATGAGTTCCCTCCAACTGAGCAGGCTTTATGTTCAATTACTTAGCTGTTGATTATCTCTAACATAAATTGCCACTACTGCACTGATATAGTTTGCTGTGTCAGTTGTTGTGGTGGTTATTAGGTTTAAAGCTTGGGCTGGACTATTGATTGATTTTCTCCTCTAGCATCTTCCTCTAAAACTATGAGAGCTAGTCTTCAAAGAAGAGACTTGCAGGTCTTCTACTCTTGATACATGTTGGGGCTGTTTTCATTTTGCTGTGATGAATAACACTATCATACTTGTATTTTCACAAAAAAACATGCATTCATTTTGCTCAAGTACATATCCAGATACAGCATTTTGGGGCATAAGTGTGTATTTACCTTTGACATACTTTCAGCTGTCCTATGCAGTCTTCTTTACATCCTGCCAGAAATATATGACTTTTCCATATAGTTCCTATTCTCACCAAGATGAATTTTATCAATCACGTTCATTGGAACAATTCTGTTGGGTATGTTGTGATGTTGCATTGTGGTTAAATTTCTATTTCCCCGATGACTTAGAGCTGTAAACACATTTTTATAGGTTTCTCTGCCACTTCTTATTTTAATTGTTAGCACGTATTCAAATCTTTGGATCCCTGTCGTAAAGGTCTGGCAAAGCTTGGCGCTCATTCTGAGCATTGTGAAGCCCTGTGTTCAATCCCTAGCACAAAAGCAAGTTGTAAAAGTTACTTATGCATACTGGGCAATAATACTCTGTAATCTTTGCCTCCTAAAAATATCTTTTAGTCTGTCTCCTCAGGCTACTGCTACTGTTAATATTACTTTAGTGAATAGAATGGATTTCTTTTAAAGAATAAAACATGGTTTATAAATCCCTGCTTAGTGTTTTCTGGTTATTGTTATGGTGGGGTTTTTTCCCATTTCAGGATCCTGAATACATTCTTCTATACTTAATTTCGCAAACAGAGAGAGGGGAGAAACTGCTTATAGACCAGAGCAACAGAAACAAGAGACACCCTGCCTCAACAAGGTAAAAGAGAATGACTCCCAAAGTTGTCCTCTGATCTCAATATATATGCCCTGGCACCTACATGATTACGGTAACACACATCAGAAACAGCAACAACAATGATGATGATTGTAGAAGGAACTTGTCATGAAAAATGCTGGGAGTTTAAGAAATCTGTAAAACCATGAACAGACGTTCTTGGATTGCCAGGATTAGTACTGTGAAAATGCTATACCACCAAGATTAATATACATATTTAATACAATATCTATCAAAATTTCAATGTCTTGTTCACAGATCTAGAAAAAGGAGTCCACAATATCATATGGAACCAGGAAAGACCACAAATAGCTAAAGCAATCCTAAGGAGCAAGAACATAGCTGGATCTATCACAATACCCTACCTCAGATTATGCTACAGAGCTTTGGTGGTAAAGACAGCCTGGTCCTGCCATCAAAAGACACAGGAAAGGGCTGGAGAGATGGCTCAGCAGTTTTGAGCACTGTCTGCCCTTGCAGAGGACCTGGATTCTGTTCCCAGCACCAACATGATAGCAAGGTGGCTAACAACCATACATAACTTCAATTCCAGAGGATCCAACACCTTCTTCTGGTCTTTGCTGGCATTGCAGAACACAGATGCACTTGCATACATGCGGGCACAACACTCATAAAATAAAAATAAATATTTTTTAAAAATCAGACAGGTAGGCCAATGGAACATAATAGAGGACCTGGAAATCAACTTATAAAACTATGCCTACCTAGTTCTTAAAAGGAGGCAAAAACACATTGGAAGGATGATGACCTACTTGCAGAAGAATGAAAATAGATTCACATTTTCACCTTGTACAAAATCAATTCAAAATGGATCAAAGTCCTTAACTTAAAATCTGAAATGCTGAAATTTCTACATGGAAACACAAAGAATGCTCTTCTGGACACTGGGGTAGGCAAGAACTTTATGAGCAGACTATCACTAGCACAGGAATTAGCCCCACATATCAACAGATGGGACTATATTAAATTAGAATGTTCTGCACAGCAAAGTAAACTATCAGAAGAGCACATAGGCAGTCACAGAATGAGAGAAAATCTTTACCAGCTACACCTCAGATGAGTGGTTAATATCATGAACTTACAAAGAACTGCAGAAATTAAATTTCAAAGAAATGAAACTACCAGTCCTCAAATTAGTTAACAAATTGAATAGACAATTATCAAAAGAAGAAACATAAATAGGCAATAACTATTTTTTAAGTGT